GGGGGGGATTTTCAACATTGAAATTTGAGTTTTTACTAAATATTTTATCAACACATGCAACTGGCACCACATATTTTTTCAATAAAAACAACCCTTCTTTAAAATTTTGAAATAAATACATGTGAGCAGTTGGTCAACGAAATATGTGAGGCATGGTGGTGAGATCAGGCACTCTTCAAAATAATGAATTCGAAGGAAACGGCATTTGTCTTCCCGTTTGACAATTTTGATCAAATTTTTATTTTTCGTCTCAACATCTTTTATAACCATTTAAAAAAACATTGCTTTGCGGCTTATACTGAAAAAAGTTGAACATAGAAAATAAAAAAATGTAAATTGACAGTTTCAAAGGACTCTCAGTCTTTGATCTTGGAAGTCACCAAACTTTGACGGACGTTTTCTCTCTAATTTTACGTCTGAAACCAGGTGATCACCACCTCCTTCAAAGGAAAAGATTTCGACCTTTATTGAAGATAGAGGGAGATAATCTTTTCATTGAAAGCAAGATGATTGAACAAGGTTTAATATGACACCAATAACTTAGATGCCCAAAAAATTGATGAGCGCCTGATTCCACCGCATAATGACACATATTACCCAATAATACTCCTACACCTGATTTTGGACATACACAGTGATTATTTAATCACTGGAGGGGATGCATCTATTCCAGAAGTGCAGCGGTACATTTTGGTTTTTATTACCTCTTACTCGTTACAGGGTGGGCTTAAATTTTCCTTCAGAGCAAAACATACACAAGGTTTCCTTTATCAGCCATCCTTAAAATGGGATTTTATAAGCTATACTATACATCAAGATGTAAAAATATATTATCTCCTTTTTCAAGATTAGAACGGTCAGAGGATTTCAGGGGGAGTGCATAAACTCCCCCACACAAACAGGGGTATGCATCTGAAAAATCGGAAAAATCTCGTCCTCAGAGAATCATGAGTAAGTGTGCCTCACATTGTTATGAATTGATTTTGAAATAAGAGACCTTTTTTCGTCCCACTTTTTTTTACCGGTACCGTACTTCAACTGACATTCACTGCAGATGCATATGATACACTTTTCTTTGAGAAAGAAAAAGTAAAAATATTCAGATACAAATGCCATGGTAGGTGTAAACATGTGCAGGTGAAATGCAAATCAGTATCAGATTTCCAGCTTACCTATACCTGTGTGTAAGAAGGAAATCTATCATGACACAGAAACAAAAGTATTGACTTTTATGACAATAATCAACTCATTAAACATGAGCAGCCACTGGGAGCGGTGGCTCGTCATTTTGGGGAGAAGCTTTGGCCACTCAGATCTTTTTCAGTGTTGTCTTCTTCAGGAGCTCTGTCCATCCAGCTCTAAGGTTCCCACTCTCAATCTTCCTCAGAGTGCTCTAAGAGTCTGTGACAAAGACCACATGTGTTTGTCGAGTTGTTGTGACCCATCTGAGAGCCTGAGTGATTGCCTCTATCTCCATTCCCATGCTGGATGTTGTCACATTGTATGCTCTCTGCTGTTCCTGCACCAATCTGCCACTCACTCTTGCTGAGAAGCCCCATCCAAATTTTTCCCCTCGTTTAACAGATCCATCCGTGTATACAACCACATCTCCATGCCGTGAGTTTTCTTCAATCAGTTGTCGTATCTCAGCATCTTCTATCGTCCCCTGTGGCCACTCTCTACATTCTCTGTTCAGCGTAACCACTACCTTCCCAAAATCTCCCTGCTCTCATTCATCTTTATCCACTCTTCACCCCGCTGTATATCTTCCAGTGGGCAGACTTCCTTGATGGTGTTTTCAGCCTCAGCCATCCAAGAACCTCCTCGTTTTAGGGGATTTCCCTCGATTGCTCCAATGGTTTCGTGAAGTGGGTGTTGCTTATCCGCCGCCACCCTCATGTACGCCTTGACCTGAGCCACTTTGTGTCTGTTTTCCACTGACACGAGGCCCACATGCCTCATACAGATAATTGACATATCCCTGGTGCTGAAGTTCTAATTTAGGTAGACTCTACTTATCGAGGAGTGCAGTGTTGCCATGCAATCAACTAATCTAGATCTAGGGAAGATTGAAGAATACCGGACCACTCGTACATTATTGCGCGAGAAAGTGGGGTAAGTGGGGAGGGTGGTTGGGGTGGAGGAGAAGGGAGGGGGTGGGGGTTCAGGGGGGTCTCCCCCCTGACAAAATTTTAATGAATAGATCTACCGGTCCGAGATTCTCCATTGAGAGATATTAAAAACGGGAAAATTATGAATTCCTATAGTTGAGACATAGGCAAAGTCAGTCCGCTGGTCCGGTATTCTTCAATCTTACCTAGAAATCTAGATCTAGATCAGATAGATCTAGTAGGATCTTTCCTATAGGGCCTAGATCTAGATCTATATATATACAGAGATCTATTATATTGCCTTCAACAACCACCCAGTTCTAGATCTAGATCTAAAATCTTACTTTCGATACAACGACTAGATCTATAGGCTATCTAGATTCTAGATTTACATCTAGATATAGATCTAGATCTAGGCTAATTCTAATCTGCTGGATCTAGCTAGATTCTAGAACTAGATCTAGATCTAGATCTACATCTAGATCTAGGCTAATTCAAATCCGCTAGATCTAGATCTAGATTCTAGCTAGATTCTAGATCTAATCTAGATCTAGATTCTAGATTAGATCAAGAATCTAGATCTATCTTACTCTCACTACTCTCAGTATCAGCGAATAGACTAGATCTACTCACCATGAGTAAACCTTCGGTTCGTCTGTAGTTTCCTCTAAAGGAACTTGTCCACTGGGATTCTTGAAGCAAGAAAAAATACACCCCATTTTGAGCAAGATCGGGTTTTCAAAATTACGACGGCACAAAAGGCTTCTGCAAGGTGCGAGAAATTCTTCTCCCTGTTGACGGGCTCAGCTGCAGCTTGTCACCGCTTGATTAGAAACGGAAAGGGAGAGCACCCGGCCCGGCAGCAACACTTCCGCAGTCTCGGGGAAACAGTTTTTTCATTGGCTATAAAAGCGGCTTCCAAAGGAGCTCTCCAGTGTAAGGAGACCAAGAAAGTAGAGCAGCGATTGGTTTGTTTATCTTCCGCTAGAGAACGGACACTGGCAACACGGAACTTCCTGCCGCGGAGAAATTGCAAGTAGGTGGGGCAATAGCGGGCTGTCCTCACTTTGTAAGCATGGATTTCAGGGTAATATCAGATTATTACCGGTCTTGCTTGTGATATATACATAATATATACTACTTTATTTCTGTAACTTTCTCGTACAAGGGTCTGCCTGATGGAGAGTGGTACAGCAGAGTCACCCCAAGTCCAACAAGTCACGACTTACTTCGTCGTTAAATGTGCCGCAATTGAGAATTTGCATCGGTGTATAGAAACTGGAATATGGGCTTGTCGAGATAGACAATATCCACCTCATCCTAAAGATCTTCTCTCCTCAGCCCATGAGAAAGGGCGCGTGATTCTAGTGTTTAGTGTAAATAATCAGCATGGCTGGCATGGTTATTGTGAAAGCAACTTCAACTGTCGGGACTTGAAAAATGTCAGTGAAAACGCAACAAAGAAAGAAATTGATACTGTTTATGTTGATTGTGACTGTGATAACTTGGGGGATACGAGTGGACCTTCGAATAATGGTAACGAGGATGATGCCTCTCCATGGCACCGTTTTCCTGTTACATGGAAAGTGCATTTACAAGACATGTCCAAACTGGCTTGCTTGTCTTCAGAGAAGACCAAACACTTACAACTTCCAGATGGATCACCTGTCAACAAGGCTCGCAACTGGCAGCAAATTTCAGAAGATACAGGAGGACAGTTGTGCTCTTTGATTAATGAATATAGGGAGGGACTTTTACAAAAGAAAAGGGAAATGGATCTGGCCAAAGAGATGCAGTGTGAAGTATCTTTCTTCAAGGATGAAGAACATGCAGTTGACTCAAAGTCACAAAGCAGCAGCGAATTTGGAGGCTGGGATGTCGTGATAGAGAAAGTGCAGCGAGAACTTGGCAAGGTACATCTTGCTTGTCCTTTTGGCAGTCAAAGGTAGGCTCTGAAAATATTTTGAGTGAGAGCTATATATATATATATATGCGCCACAATTATAAATTATTCTTAGAAGTTCTTCCCATTTCATTATATAGATCTAGTAATCTGGATTTTATGAGTTAACAGTTATGTGTACTGAAACTCTCTCCTTTTATACTCTCTTTTAATGCTATGAATAGGATTCTGACTTGATTTATTAACTCCTATCTGGTTTGTGTTGTAAATGCTTATAATTGGAGATTTGCTAAACTAAATGTGCACCAGACACTCTTGCTTCTTTTTCTTCTCTTCCATGTTGCATTGTTGTTGTACACATTATCTAGCCCCCCCCCCCCCCCCCCCTATCAGTATCATCTATGTCAACTGTCTCCGCCGACTGTGAATGACAGAGAAGGCAAACTGACGAGAATGTTTAGCACACAGTATCTTTGCTATTATTCATTTATCATCATGACATCATATTATAATCATAACGAATCATAATCACTTTATTTTGGTTGTGAAGAATGCAAAGAGCTTTGTAAATGGCCTTCGATTATTATTGCTTCTGAAAGAAAAATATTGTGGTTCATCTTTTATAATCTTTCATTGACAGGTACAACTGTAATCTGCCAGGCAGTGATAATGATATCTTCCTGGTTTATCAAGCAAAAACGACGGACATTCTTGGTTTAGATCCCCCAAAGCAAACAATAAAGGTAAGCTTGAGTTTTTAAATTTTTCTATGAATTATTGAAATGACAAAGTGATATTACTCTATATCTTTCTTCATCAAATAAGAAATTGTAGTAGTACATTGACCTGGTATTGAAAAATTATATTGACTTGTAGCTCTCTAATAATCTTCTTATTTAGATACCTACACATTGATTATTGACTAGAGTCTAACATCTGTGCATTCCTTGGGGACAGTGACTGATTTGGTTTGGAAACATTTTTTCTCTTCCAAGTTTTTATTTCAAATCTGATGTATCAATAATAATTGTATGATGTCTTCATTTCCCATTTAACGTCTGCAATCAAAATTGTAACCTTTGAAATAACTTTTTTTTTGTTCGTCTTTCCGTTGCCAGAACAGTGACCGGGCTGTGGTGGACTACACGATACTCGAAATTCAGCGATACTGTGAGTTGCTGGTCGCTGGAGATCCAAGATGTATCGAAACTCTGTTTTTGTCGAAAGACGAAGGGCTGGCTCTAGCCTCGGAGCAGTGGGAGCAACTACAGGCCATCAGGAACACTCTCCTGACACAGTAGGAATTTCATTTTCTAACATAATTCATTTCATAATAAAATGATGACTAAATTTGCACAGTAAATTCAAAGTAATGACATAAGGGCCACAACATTTCACCACAAAGATCAGAGAAAACAAGAGCAGGTCAAACAGGGGGTACCAATTTTGCACATTTTTTTCCTGCAGAAAATTTACCTTTTGGGGGTTTTTTCTTGTCAAATGCACTGTTATCTATTTGTCTCCACAACATACAACCAAATTGCCACGACAGTGTACAAACAAAAAAAAGGGTAAATATCCAGATAGTATCGATCCCAGTGTTTAAGCAGATTCGTTCCCACAATATAGGACAAACGTGATTAGCAAAATATGAACAAGTGGGAGAAAATGAAATCTTTGTTTTTAGTATTTCTCTATCACTATTCCTGTCATCTCTGAGAGTGACGCCTGTAAATGTTTCTAATGTTCCATGAATGAATCAACAATGCAATATTTGGAAAGAAATGTTCTGTGTTGTCACTTTGAACTAGAGGTAATAATGTACAACAACCTTACTATTTTTTTTACAAAACGACTGCAACTATGTGTTTTGGTTGTCTTTTGCGTTATCTCATTTTAATCCTGTGATTGACAGAAAGTGTCTGGAAAAGTACATGAAAGAGGCACAGGGGACCACAGGTGTGAAGCAGCTGCAGAAGTGGCGCTCAAACAACGGGCTGACGGAGCAACTGCCGCACAAGTTGAGCAAGCTGGGCTACATAGTGCTCAGACTGCTACAGAATGCCAGGTCAGAGTAACGGAATAACAGTTTGTGACTTTGTGTTTTCTAAACTACTACGAAGTGAATCTGGCCCTGACTTAAGTCTGCAGTACTTTCAAATGTGATTGGAAGTTTAGAAAGTCTAGGATCAAACAGATAAATAAATTCCACTTTATTGAGCTTTATAGCTGGCCACGTCTCAGCCCAGACCCCCACATGTTGTTATTGTTGTGCCCCTCCCTGTAGCTGTATAACGTTTGTATTTACATCCACCTCCTCCATCCCCCCAACCAGGGCTGTGCTACTGACTGAAGTGTCTTTAGGCCATTCCCTAAGGGGGGACATTAACATGTTTTTCTGCACAGTAGAATTGTAAATGGGCCGATTAATCAATGTCATGCTCATACTGTGCCAGAACAACATAGGGGTAACTGCTGATTTTCCTTTCCTCATCCTTAGTATGGTCATTTTCCTCTACTTCTTTTGTATGTTTGTCACTCTCTTGTAAACTGTTATTTCCGGGGTGCCTTGATAGTCGAAGCAGACTTTGTGCTCTTGAGGCTAGAGAGGTTAGCAGAGTAAGCCTGATTCCCTGTATGGACTTCTCTGTTGACATCCACCCCTTGGCGCTCATATGACCCTATGCAGTTGCAAGCGCCATAAAAACCGTACTAAAATTAAACTAAACATTTATTTCTACTGCTTACTACACTGTCATTGATTAGCTAAAAACGTTTGTAATCTCAGGGACATGTGTGTGAGCGGATCGCTGCAGGTGTACAGGAAGACTGACTCCACAGAACGACAAGAGTTGCTGGCGGCGCGCAATGGAGAGTTTTCCTACACAGAGTTAATGGATGTTTGCAGACGGTAAGAGTTTGGAATGTTCTCTTTTGGATGTATATTTATGTGTGAGTTGCTGGTAATGCCTCTAGAGTTTAATGGCAATCATCAGTCTTTTATAAACTAGTGAACATGCCTGGTTTTTACACCCTTATCAACACTATTAGATTGTTTAAGAGGTGGAACTTGCAAAATTAAGGTCTGTCTCTGATAGGGCCCAGCTAAATAGATTGAGAGCAGTGAAAACTTCACAAAACGACTCAAGGCCAAGAACATTCAGCCTGGAATTTGAACCGCGACCATCCACTCCATACTGCTCTAAGCTGACAAAACACCTTTTTTTTTCTTCCCAGCAGTTTAGAGAAAAAGAGTTGTTTTTTGTCAGCGTAACCATTTGAAAATAGAGTGATCCCGAAGTTTTAATTCTAATTTATTCAAAATCTAGTCACAGTTTCACTTTGATTTTTTCACCCAAGCAGGGTAACTGATCAGACTTTCGATTTAGCAAATAAAAAATGTTGGCATCAAAATGAAATAAAAAATAGGTTTTGTGATCTTGTGGGAGCATAGTCCCGCAGGACACCAACTGAGCTGAAGGGGCACCCGTGGTATAGACTGGGACTGGGAATAGATTGAGGATTTGAGTCTTACAATGTATAGATTGAGGAGTTGAGTCACACAATGTATAGATTGAGGAGTTGAGTCATACAATGTATAGATTGAGGAGTTGAGTCATACAATGTATAGATTGAGGAGTTGAGTCATACAATGTATAGATTGAGGAGTTGAGTCATGCAATGTATAGACTGAGGAGTTGAGTCCTACAATGTTGTATAGATTGAGGAGTTGAGTCATACGATGTATAGATTGAGGAGTTGAGTCCTACAATGTTGTATAGATTGAGGAGTAAGGCCGGGCTAGGATGAGCCAGTCTCCGTCCAACATATCCTCAAACCAAAGATGGTGGTGAGACGGAAGGGTTTTAATTGTTTGACACATTCCACTTACCCTGGAAGGCCTTCTGCCATTCTCACTCTTAAAGAGACGTGAAATCCATCCTTATCTTGTCATTCATACTGTTCTAAAAGAGGCTCTCGTGGCCTAGAGGTTAAGGTGTTTGCCTCTTATTCAATAGGTCCCGGGTTCGAATCCGGTTAGCAATGGAAAATTTTCTTCTCCAAAAATGTTCTCCTTTCACCTCTTTTCCTGCCCTCTAATATAGTTCTGTCGTCAGCTTTCGTCTCCTCTTTCTGCTCCCACCCCTCCGCTCCTTTGCCCCCTCCTCTGGGTTCCTGACTCTTTCTGTAGCCTTTCTACTGCTACTCCTTGGCTCCTTCTTACTGCTGTCTTTCAGCCACACCCCTGATCTTATGGTAGGAAAGATCTACACTTATCCCTTTCGGATAAGGTTGAAAATTCTCGGAGGTCCCGTGTGCATGTTGCGCACGCTAAAGATTCTTTGGTGGTCTAAAATTGATAAGACTAGGCTTCGGCCACTGCTCGGGCAAAATTCAAAATTTCCTGCCAACTGAAAATGTTTAATGTGTCCGGTACGCTGATATGACTTTATGCAGTTGCGAGCCCCGTTAAACACTTGCCAACAAAAATGTGTTTAAATACTCCTCTAACTGTGGCATGTGTTTGCAGATACCAGGAGGAAATTGAACCTCTCAAGCCAAGTTTGCCGGCGAGCCTGAAGGAAGCGAGAGCAGACGTACAGAAATGGCTGCTGGACTGTCGCCTAGAGGATCTCCAGCTGAAAAGTTCTTGATACTTTTCTTTGGCTCATTGTCAATAGAAAAAAAGATAGTTTGGTGCCATAAATGCCTTGAGTATGACAACATGTGTTTGCAAGTCTGTGTGTGTGTATGTGTGTGTCTGTGTGTGTGAGTGAGTGAATGTATGTTTGTGTGTTGAGGTTTGAAGAAGGGGGGTGGGGGTATGTATGTGTATTCAGCATAACTTAGAATTTGAGTAAATTTATGTGTATGTGTCAGTGGAAGAGGTTGAAGGGATTAATTGTGCACCGCTCCTCATTCCTTCAGGTTTGTTGGCCCTGATAAAAACTATCCGTCGCTTCGTTTACTAGTCAATTTTTGGGCTTGTTGACTTACTCAAGTTATTGGTATCATCTTCAAAGCTTGTTCATTTGTCTTGCTTGCCATTGAAAAAAAATACCTATCTATCTTGAATAGAAGTAGAGATATTTACGATTGAAGGAGGTGGGGGTGACCTGCTTTCTGAGTTAAAATTAGTGAGAAAATGGCCGGCAAATTTTAGTTGGTGTGGTATGTAGTATGTCTACTGAATAAATGCTGCGTCTTTGTTTCTTGTTTTCCTCGATTTATTGTAAAAATCTGCTTTTCTGTATACAACAAATGTTTTCTTGTGCATCAAATCTTTCTTTTAAAAACAAAATTTGTTTGTAATAAATGCTTGTAGAGCTAGCTTGAAAAGTGTTCTTTTTTGTGTGCAGAACATGTTAATGTATACAGCGTATATATATACAGTGTATAGTAGTTATATGCAGTGTATAGATATTTTCTATCAAACTTGTTGCAACAAGGCAAGGCCGAGGCTCACAGCTTGCGGCAGTTGATTGGACGTCATTATGTGCTTAGTTTCTGATGTAACTGAAGGGTGCGAGGGAAAAACTTTGAGATATTTAACTTGTTGTTATTTTGATAAAAACAGATAATGTGAGGCAGCGTGGTGGAAGAGAAGAATCGCTTTAACAGTTTCCGTCCCACGACATAGCTGAAATTTGTCTCATGCTTTTCCCTTGCACCCTTCCTGTTGTCTTCCCCTCATTACTCTTTGAGTAGGTTCCTCCTTTTCTTTGTGTTCTTTTCTTCCTAGCTACAGAGTTACGCGAGTGGAACATTCTGTGCTCCTGTGTTTGTAGCATCATGCTAAGCTAGAGAGTTACGTGAGTGGAACATTCTGTGCTCCTGTGTTTGTAGCATCATGCTAAGCTACAGAGTGACCTGAGTGGAACATTCTGTGCTCCTGTGTTTGTAGCATCATGCTAAGCTAGAGAGTTACGTGAGTGGAACATTCTGTGCTCCTGTGTTTGTAGCATCATGCTAAGCTACAGAGTGACCTGAGTGGAACATTCTGTGCTCCTGTGTTTGTAGCATCATGCTAAGCTAGAGAGTTACGTGAGTGGAACATTCTGTGCTCCTGTGTTTGTAGCATCATGCTAAGCTACAGAGTGACCTGAGTGGAACATTCTGTGCTCCTGTGTTTGTAGCATCATGCTAAGCTAGAGAGTTACGTGAGTGGAACATTCTGTGCTCCTGTGTTTGTAGCATCATGCTAAGCTAGAGAGTTACGTGAGTGGAACATTCTGTGCTCCTGTGTTTGTAGCATCATGCTAAGCTAGAGAGTTACGTGAGTGGAACATTCTGTGCTCCTGTGTTTGTAGCATCATGCTAAGCTAGAGAGTTACGTGAGTGGAACATTCTGTGCTCCTGTGTTTGTAGCATCATGCTAAGCTAGAGAGTTACGTGAGTGGAACATTCTGTGCTCCTGTGTTTGTAGCATCATGCTAAGCTAGAGAGTTACGTGAGTGGAACATTCTGTGCTCCTGTGTTTGTAGCATCATGCTAAGCTAGAGAGTTACGTGAGTGGAACATTCTGTGCTCCTGTGTTTGTAGCATCATGCAAAACGAAGACGAAATGTGTATAAAAAAAGGATGAATAAAAACTGTAGAGGATATCAGAAAACATGTTTATTTCATGTGAAAGGCGGATGTGATAAAAGTGTTCCAAAATTGTGTTCTTCTTTCCCCTTTGATCTGTATGTACAAATGTTGCCGGTGGTCACTGCTCTCTCCAGAGATACATAGCAGAAACAGTACTGTAAAATATACATAGCAGACACAGTACACAGTAGGCCTACAGTAAAACATAGAAAAGCAGCAGTGATCGGTGATTGTAAGACACTGGGTTGTCAATAAGCAGTTCAAATGTTCCAAGTTCCGAAAGCAAAATTGTTAAGGTTGGAGAAACAAGAACTGTTTCTCTCTTTGAACAATTTTACTTACATTTAACTTACATGACCTATTTTTTCTGGTGTTTTTCAACATTTACACTTGGAATTTCTACAGAACATTCTGGAGCACTTGCAACTGATACTACTGTGTCAGAAAATGTTATAAAATCTAAATAAATTTTTAAAATAAAAAATTCTAAATTTTTGGGCTAAATAGATCTGAACAGCCGGCGGATGCTATGACAACACATTCAGGATGATCAGTGGCAAGGAAATCAGTGGTTGTATATTGCTCAAATGTTTTCTGAAAATACTGAATTGTACAAAGAAATAACAACACACGTTAGATAAATAATGGAGTCGATTTTTATCAACATGAGTACCAGGCAGGCCCTACATTTTTCAAAATGAAGTCTTTGGTAGGCCTTCGTGTTTGCTCAAACTGGGAAGAATAGAACCATGGGTAGGTCGCTAATTTTCTTCTCGTCAGCAAAAAACGTTTCAAAATAAGAAAATACTGAAGCCACAATTTTTCAAGATGTCCTACTGTGTGTTATGACATTTCTTCAAATATATTCAAACATTCAATGTCTGTACCAGCCTTCTGTGAGGTAAGACACCCACCAGTACAGGCTTTACCTATTCAAACAACACCTATACAACATCCTTCTGTGAGGTAAAACTCCCACCAGTACAAGTTTTCATCCTCCACGGAACAGTCCACAAAGAGTCGAGTGTGTGGCAGAGGTCAGAATAAAGAGAAACAAACCCAGTGCATCATGTGAAGTACATCTCCAACATTTTGCAATTCATTAATGACACAGTTTGACTGTACAATGGCATGCTTTATTCCACACTGTGTATGTGACAAACTCTGCCCTTATGTCTCTGGGTGAAAAAAAAGTTACAGAACCACTGGCTCTGACAGAAAAACCTGGTTCACAACCTGGGACTTCAAAAATAACAAATGATGAAATGGCCAATGTGTTTTCAGTTTTCATAGAAATGTGGTATTTAGAACTTTTCCCATTTCACAAACAGAGGAACCCAGAAACACACGTTTGACCTGAAAATGTCTACAGCATTTAATGTAACACGTGAAGGCATAAAGTTGTATCTTCATACACTCTCTCCTTTCACTCATATATATATACGACCATTCTCTCAGCATCATTCACAACTTGATCAACAAAACGGTCACCCTTCCACAACGAATAAAAAAAAAAAAAAAATGAATGACAAAATCAAACAAATGAATACGTACAATGAAGGTTTCAAAATTGTATGAGTGTATTATATCCACATGTGATTTTAATCTTCTGCTTTTTTTCATTACCAGTTCAACACTATCAGCTTAGCCTCATATATATAATTTTGTGACAGTAAACGGCTTCCAGCTGCCTTTCCCTTCCATTTTCCAGTTCAACATTTGGAATTGAGCTTCTCCTCCGACGTTAACATTTTATAAAAATAATTTATTTTTAATTTTAAAAATTATTTTGTAACCGCTGTCAGCTTCCAACTGCCTTTTCTTTCCATTTCTAGATCTAGTTCCCAACATTTTCCATTTAGCTTCTCCTCTGTCCAAATAAGGGCATAAGGTGGACCCTCTTCTCCACCCCCATCACAAACATTAGAAAAAGGAATTTATTTATATATTTTTTTAAAAACTTATTTAGTAACGGTGATGGGCTTCCGACTGCCGATGTTCTGGTACTCGGTGTTGTACATTTTGGGTGCGGTGTAGACAGACTTGGTCCCGGGGTCCGGCAGTTTGAAGGGCGTGTCCACCGGGCAGTAATAGTTCTCCTTCATGTTCACGTGAGACGGGAACTGGAACGATTCGTCGTACAGGCTCTTCAGACCTCTGAGAACAGGAAAAAACCACAACAGTTCATGAGTCGTGGGACAGTTGGTGATGCTTTCATTCTTTTGATATCTTTATATTCAAAGTCACATGCTCACACAGCTAGACTACTGGCGTCTGTAGTGTAGCAGCTCGGTGCTTCGCTGTCGCACACACCCAAGTATGGTGCCAGAGGGAGGAACAAATTATTTCAAATAATATCTCGGTCTTTTTGCTAGGACATTGTGTCCCTCTCAGCCGGACTTGGCCGTGACAGCGTCGTCAAAACACCTCTTCTAAATGATCTAAATTATGTTGATGCAGGCATAAAAAAACGCCTACAATCAAAAACAAATAGACTGAAACAGCATATATATATATATATGCACTCCATGTTAAAGTTGGAAACGCTGTCGATTAAGCCAAGTCTCGGAGAACAGCCACCATATCCTGCAACACCATACTTGCTTCATAAATGAAGACCGCAGACATGGCTACATACACAGGAGAGAAAACTATGGAGGAAACGTCAAAGATCCACAGTGGACTACACAGTTTGTGTGTACGCCAGTGTTTGTAGTTTGTGTGTACTGCTGGATGGACTGGCCAAGTGGACCCTTACAGTCAACAGGCAGGGTTGAACACAACAGCCACCCCCTTCCCCCCCACCCCCTGAATAAACCAAGTTGCTTGACAGGGGCGTAAAATTTTTATCAGTTGGAGTTGGATGTTGAGGTTACTGTACAAGGCTTGATATCCAACTGTTTCATCAGAAGGAGAAACTAAACATTAGCATTAGCAATAACATGAACCCCTCCCCAAATAGCAATGTTACTTTTTAGTTCAGTGGGGGTATTTCTTACCTCTTCCTCATAAGATTATTTAATTCTACAATAATTAACTTGAAATAAAGAAACAGTTTCGTTTGTGTGGATCTGCAATAAGTGGACCAGTGTCTGGAGTAGAGGTTGTCTGTCTGTCATTGCAGTCAGGAGACTAACGTTCCATTCCCGACTGGGGAGAATTTTCACCAAGTATTTCGCTCGTTCTGCAGGAATGTTTCCCTCACTCATAACCTAGAGGGTTGGCCCTCATAGACAGGGTCAAAACCGGCCTCCTAAATCATCTAAAATCTCATACAGGCATAAAAATCCACCAGCATTAACCTATTCTTCTGTCTGACCAACAATTACCGTGCTTCCCAGCCCAAAGTGACTGCGATCACGTTGATGTGCTTCTCTATACTCCGACAAAACCAGCAGTTTGACCTTTGACCTTTGACACTTACGCGTGCGGCACTGGCACCAGAGCTTTGGGCAGCCGAGGAATCTTTGTGGCTGTAGGGAAGATCGTCTCATCTCTCATCGGCAGTTTGCCACGGGGAACGTTGTCCTTTGGCAGAGGGCTAGAAAAAATAAATAAATAAATAGATAAAATAAAGTTAATAATTAACAAATTTTACAATATTTATTTTCTTGGTAAATGTATATATTATAATGATATACATAGATGTAATTAAGCATTGACCCCTTCATGACCTATATGACATATGCCGTTCGTAATTTTTTCTTACACATCGTACGAGCCAAGATGCTGCTGTGATGTACGGTGTTCGTCATGCCTTGTGTACGTCATAGGCTATATTCTGCATACTGCTTCCATAAGATGCACTTTGTAAAATTAATCACAGATTCACATTCAGAAATATTTCTTCTGTACAAAGGAATCCTATCCTTTCAGATATAGTTAGTAGTATTTGCGAACCGGGTCTAATTACAGGAAACTGACCACTCAATCTAGTACATTTGTACTACTGTGGCCTTGGGGACCCAAAACTGTGCCCGGTGAAACACGAACTGAGCCTGCGTCACGCCGGGGCTGTTACATGGACAATACACAACACCACCCAACACAGACAATCCACACACCTTAGCTCATCACCACTGTGTAGCGCCCTGGTTTTGAGCTCAGGCTATCGTGTCTTGCTCAAGGACACTCATTTACATATTTTCTTATAAATTCCACGGGTAGAAAAGGAAAAAACCTCTAGTTCAGTTTAGTTTTACTATAGGTCTCTACATTCAACAGTACAGGTAGCCTACATACCTAGGCCAGTTACGTAAAAAAAAATATTTTTTTTAATAAAAAAATGAGAAAGATAGATATAGGAATATCTGAATTAAGTGAATTCTTCTCAAACTACAACCTGTGGGACTGCCACATATTCTTCAGTTTAGCTGGGTTTTCAGTTTAGAGGGGTTGCTCAATTGAAAGGAAAAAAAATGGGCATTTAATTTTTTTTTGGTTTACCACTTTTCAGATTAAATGGCAGCTTGCACTGTATGCTTCCCGGGAAGTTGAGGTTGTTTCAGAATGCTCTCAGGTCTGCTGGGGTAATAATAAAGAATGTGAAGCGCATAGAGCTAGCTGTTGAGTGGGGATTTGTGCTATACAAATGCTATCTGTTATTACTACTATAGTTATCATTTGTACCCGAGTTTGGTTTAAGAGGAGCCCACTGCAGACTATGAGAACCTTTAGCGACTCACTTATGGTGCAGTCCGTGTCCCCAGGCCTTGGGGTACCCCACTATAGACTATGAGAACCTTTAGCGACTCACTTATGGCACAGCCCGTGTCCCCAGGCCTTGGGGTACCCCACTATAGACTATGAGAACCTTTAGCGACTCACTTATGGTGCAGCCCGTGTCCCCAGGCCTTGGGGTACTCCTCACACTGCCAGTACGTCGGCACGTCTTTCTTCGGGTAGTCGCCCATCTCCCCCTGGGTAAACATGCGGTGGTCGCGCTGGGTGGTGCTCAGGTAGGGGTCAAGGATGTTCAGCACGCCCTTGTCCTTCACGTAGAACGGCTGGCCTTGCAGCTTGGGGTTCTGGGTGCTGGCTGCCCCAACCTGGGATTAGGTACAGTACGCTCGTGTGAAGAGATTAATATGGCAAGTGTGTGAGACCCACTCGTCTGCTCCAGTCACAAACTTTTTTACTTCTATTCAAGAGAGATCTTTTTTCTTTCTTCATCAAAACTGAGATAAATGTACTAGCTGTTAAGATGATAGCAGTAACTCCATACGCCCAAAAATTGATGAGTGCCTGATTCCAATATGTCATGACACACATTTATATATTATGTGCGTATGTTTGTGTGTAATTAGACCATATGCGTCACGACGTGGTGGATTCAGGCGCTCGTCAATATTTGGACATGGGGAGTTATTGGTATCACTTTAAAGCTTTCTCAATTGTCATGCTTTCACTTTCAGTGGGACCAATATACTCATCTGTCATGAATGGAAGTCGAGATATTTGTGATTGAAGGAGGTTGTGGTCGCGTGGTCTCCGAGGTAAAATTAGCGAGAAAATGGCAGCGAAAGTTTGGTGACATCCAGAGGTTAAGAGTCCTTGGAAACTGCAAATTTATTTTTTTTGGGTGCCTTTAATCAACGTTTCTAAAAAAAAATCTACACAGAAAAGTATTTTTAAAAGGACATTAAAGACGTTAAGCCAAAACGAGAAAAAAACAAAAAAACTGCCCATCGGCCAAAAATTGCAGATTTCTTTGATTTTGTTATATTTTGATGAACGCCTGATTTCACCACGCTGCCTCACATATATGTGTGTGTTTTTGTGTGTAATCAGATGATGTGTTTACCTTTGAGGGTCCCTCCTTGTGTAATCTGATGATGATAAGTTTTCTTTACCTTTGAGGGTCCCTCTTTGTGTAATCTGATGATGATAAGTTTTCTTTACCTTTGAGGGTCCCTCCTTGTGTAATCTGATGATGATAAGTTTTCTTTACCTTTGAGGGTCCCTCTTTGTGTAATCTGATGATGATAAGTTTTCTTTACCTTTGAGGGTCCCTCCTTGTGGTGGTCCTGCAGCAGGAAGTTCTGCGGGTGATAGACTTCCTCAAACTTGTACTTTTCCTTGACCTCCGGGGCCTTCGACTGGTACTCCGCCTTCATCTCGCTCAGCTGGTTCCCCATGGTCAGCGGCCGCCGCCACCCGCCCTGGCCCAGCTGTGGGGAGGAAAAACACAGGTTAGGTTTGGGTCTAGTAAGAATTTTTTTGTTTTATTTTTGGGTAAGTGTTTTATCGCCCTTGCAACTTCATAAGGTCATATGAGCGCGCGATACACACTAAACATTTTCAATTGGTAGGAAATTTTGAAATTTGCCCACTGGCAGCCGAAGCTTACTCTTATCAATTTGAGACCAACAAGGGATCTTTGATGTGCGCAACTTGCACACGGGACCTCCAAGAATTTTTGCCCTTTTATCCAAGAAGGCTAGGTGTAGATCTTTCCAACCAGAAGATCAGAGGTGTGGCTGAAAGATAGTAGTAAGAAGGAGCCAAGGAGTAGCAGTAGAGAGGCTGCAGAAAAAGTCCGTAGCCCAGAGGAGGGGGCAAAGGAGGTGAGGGGGTGAGGGAAGAAAGAAGAGACGAAGGCAGACGACAGAACATTGTTAGACAGCAGGAAAGGAGGTGAAAGGAGACAATTTTAGAGAAAAAAAATGTTTCCGTCGCTACCCTGATTCGAACCTAGGACCTTTGAATCAGAGACGAACACCTTAACCTCTAGGCCACGAGAGCCCCCCCTAGTAAGAGTTTTACAGTCCTTGCAACACAAGTGGGTCATGATATAAGAGCCGATGGTTAGAGGTGCTTCAAAAGAGTGATGTAGGCCTACAATGAGAAACAGGAGAGATAATGAGGACAGATGCTTGACAGGAAAGAAGGAGCAAACCCCACCACAGCAGCCGCCAACCACAGAAAAGAACCAGATTAGAGTAAGTGCACGATTCTATGTGTATTTGTTTCCATTACTATAGACAGAGACACTATTCGCTGTTCTTCTTGTTTCTTCAGCAGTCCATCAATATCCATGATGACGGTGATTGGGATTTCAGCCAGACAAGAACGGACGTGCACCCCTAGGCCTGCTTTAGTTTTAGAATATTAATATATTCCCAATGTTAGAAATTGGAAGTCTGTGACCATTAAAAGAGATACTGTTATGTACTAAACATAAATTTAAAGTTCCGAAAAACACACACACAAGTAAAGATAGACAAACACACATGTTAGATAGATCTCCGCAGACCGATGTAGATACTTGATAAAAAAGATTCACCGGTTAGAAACTGAGCTCATCTTTACCATGTGTAACAGCAAAGAGGCTAACAGCTACATCACACAGGCCAGTCAACATGCTGTGGAAAAAGAAAAAAAAATAAACAAAGCAAATGGTTCACCTTCTCCGTGAGGTCTTTCATGTAGGTGACCTTCCAGTGACCCGGGGCCTTCTTATGCTCCGGGTCTTTGTAGAGCAAGCCTGGGTACTTTTTGTCGTGGAACTGCTCCTTGGTGGTGAGGTAGGGTTTGTCGTTGGTCACTTCATTCTCTTTGGCCAGGCCAGGGGGCAACGGTTCCCTTAGAAGAGTCTGGATGTGATGACAAAAAATGAATTGAATAAAACCAGAGACCGAAAGAATTTGTACGCATTGAAGTGCTGCATGGGCAAACAGCAAAGAGAGCCCCCACCCCCCCCCCCCCTACCAACAAAACAATTTTTTTTAAAAATTTTAATAAATAAATTTTAAAAATAAATACATTATTTTAAAAAATAAAATATTTTAAAAAACCCAACAACATAGCTACAGAAACAAAAATTAGATTGTGTACTGTAAGTTTTTTGCATTCAATCCTTTTGTTCTTCAAACGCATTTTGAGTGTAATAGTACAAGAAAAAGAAAACAAAAATGATCAAGAAAAAGCCATTTACGTTGCATATTTTGTCCCATATTTCAATGTTTTATTAAGAAAAAGCAATGAATAATCTTCACAGAATCCTAGACTGTTCGAGCGAAGCTAGCCCTCCTTTCTGAGGTGACATCGGTGACCTAGTGAGGTGGTGGTGTCGGTGACCTAGTGGTTAGGTTATCTGAGTCCTAATTGTGAGATTATGGGTTCAGGGGTTCGAGCTGCGGGCTCGACATTGTGTCCTTGGGAAAGGCACTTTATACAAATGTTCCTCACTTCACCCAGGTGGAATGGGTACCCGGCCATAGACAGCGAAAAAGATCATGTCAGTATGTTAGTGTATTAGCGCATGTAAATGGCTGCTTGCACTGTATGCTTCCCAGAAAGTTGAGGTTGTTTCAGAATGCTTTCAGGTCTGCTGGGGTAATAGTATAGATTATGAATCGCATAGAGCTTGTTGTTGAACGGGGATTCGCGCTCTTTTTTTGTTCCTATCTATTATTATAATTTATTAGAAAAATTGGTCACATCTCCATATAATATGTAATATTCTTGACAAAAGTATGATTACACCCATATAGAATCGTCCGGCCAGTCACATCTCTCTCTGCACTACTTTCCCTTCGGACTTCTATATTATCATTAAATTTCTCTCTATCTTTCACTGGCTCTCGACTATCTTCTGCTCACTCTCTCCTCCTAGATATATTGAACTTAATAACCCCCCCCCCCTCTTCCCCCTTCCACCAATGTTTGGTTGTATACAGTTGCATATTTATAAATAAAGTTATCTAAATCTAAAGTGGTGTGAAAAGTCATTCAACGCAAAGGATCCGCAAGTGTCCAACAAAACACAGATATCGCTAGACATTTGCTCACATCTTGTAGACCATCATCCAAAGTCATATATGTTGAAAAAAACATAAACAATCTCACGCTAAGCAAAACTAAAGAGTAGACGGTGTAGAGTAGAAATAAATCCAAGCAAATACTCTAAGCATGATAATAATACTTTAAAATGCAATTCACATTCGGTTATAGCAAGTTCATTTGGCAGGTGTAAAGGAATACTCAAATTCAGATGTCAATCAGTGGTAGCCTACAGTATTCAGAATCTAACACAGTTTTAATAACCAACTTATCTAGATTTCTAGATCTAGATCTAGATCTAGATCTAGTATCATCTAGATCTAGATCTAGATCTAGATCTAGATCTACTATAAGAGTGAAAGGCAAAGCAAGTTAACAAAGATGTACTTATCATCTATAGAATGTAAGAGGTCTAATCTCAAACGGATAAGCTAATCTGTAATTCCACATAACGTCTTTAGGCCTACAAACCTTGAATTCAGAATCTGGAAAGAAATATCCGGGGCGGTGATGGTGGCCAACTCCAGTACTCGTCAGATGCCAGTCTTGACGACGGCCATACTTAACCTCCTGGTGCATGTTTGGCAATCTCTTTATGCTAGTCTAACCTACAAGATGATTTATTTCCACAGGGTTTATCAATTTTGGGAGACCCCTGTGCACCAGGGCAGTCTCAAAGGCTTGGAGAAGATGTGGAGAAAGAGCCACCAATCGCCAGTCGTTGCTATGAGACACATCAACGGAAGAAATTCAACATCCTGTAGGGGCGATAACTTAATTAGGTCGTCGTCAAAAAACAAATTCGCCGTTTTAGTAATGCCTCGGGGAGTGACAATTAATTACTTGATTCCATGTTTTTTTAAATGTGAGTTTGTGTGTGTGTGTGTGTGTGCGTGTGCGTGTGTGTGTGTGTGTGTGTGTGTGTGTGTG